TCTTGGCTTCGCCTTGCCAATTATCTGCTCTATTTCGCGTAAAGCTCAGCGCCGAGTGCTTTATCTGGCTTAAAGCAAGAGTAATTAACCCTGTGCATTGCTGCATGGAACACATTCGTGGATGACGTGACTTTACACGAAATAAAGCACGGCGCGACCTATTGTCTTTTGACAGGAAAGTGCTTTAAAGTCATGTACTGTACCATACAGGTAAGGACTTTTTTTGAACCTTAAATTGCTTTGCATATTGCCACTTGAAATAAAAGATAGGATATAAAGAAGCAAACACTCATGTTTAAAATTATGTTCAAATAAAAGCTTCCTAACAATTATATTGACATTGTTTTATATATTTAGTGATGTAAAGGGATAACAAAATGGGGAAAAAATCTTTAGTATATAAGTGCTAGAGCACAAATATTCAGACTGATGTGCTCCCAACCACTGCCTCTCTCCCCCTCCAAATGAGCAATAGGACCATGTGTTGTGCACATGAAAATACCAGCACTGGGAAAAATTGATAATCCACTCCACCATCATGAAAAATAATGCCACATTCATTTAATTTTATGGATGACACCCTCTGGGGACCTCGAAACCCATATGACAGGACAAAAGTTTTTAAAAAGTACTGAAGTAAAGGAATACACAGCTGGAAACATAAACTGAACCACAGAACACAGTGTATCAAACAAATTACATATCTTTTAACGTGATGAGAACACTAAAACTGTGAAAAGTGCAAAAGGTTCATTTTTCGACAAATTCAGCAGATTTGCAGGAGAAGATAAACAAGTTTTGCACCAACCAAGGCATTTTAAATGCACACAGATAGTTGCAGCATGCTGTCAGTTTTGGAGTTCCAAGGAGGTGATATTTTAAAAATTGTTTTTTGAATATTAATGTGCAGGCAAATGTCATCAATAAAATTAAATTACTTTGGCCTAAAATCAATAAACAAATAAATAATAATAATAATAATAAATTAAAATAAATAAATAAAATAAGACATGTCGACCCTTAAATTTAGCTGCTTTGCTTGTTAAAAATCATATGCTTTTAATATAAAAATATGACAAAATAAATAATAAAAAATATCTACGACTAGTACGAGCAGATGCCATTAACCAACATGCACTAGTATTTATATATCGATTTTCGTCTGGTCCCTTACAATGAAAATACTGAGAGGCGGTGAAGCGGTGAATGTGAACATTACAACTTCCATAACATCAAAGAAGAGAACGTGTTTGTAAAATGTTCTCTTGAACCTGTTCGATTATATCAATTCATTGATTAGCAAGGCTTTCAGTTTCATTATGGTCAGCCGGCGAGCGCAGTATATTACGATTGTGATTTCCTTGGACAAAACAACTTAACCAATTTTTACACATATTGTACTCATTATGTTTGCTATTGGCTATCCCTGCTGTCGTTGAAATACGACATGTCACTTTACACTGACGAAAATGGACAGAATACTTACCATGGTGTCAAACATGCCCCAACAGACTCTTCCACAGCCAAGGTCCAGTTAGTGGTTTCTGGCATAGGTCAAAGGTCACATTGTTTGCCAAGACAAACTATGATATCATTCAATAAATTTTTGTCGCACGGGACTTATCCAATACATTCACTACCAAACTTTGATATACAATTGTTTCAGTGAAGATGTTAAAATAAATGTTAAGCTTTTAAATAAAATTTTATTGCATCCAAGGTGAACTATTGCACCCTGTTGCATCTTTGCTCTTGCGAATTTGGAGGAATGAAACACATACAAGACTTTCTGTACGCTGCTGTTCATATCAAATATTTCCACGAAAGTGATGGCATTTTGAGTTTGAAAAGTATTTTTCAGGATGAATATCTTACCTAAGAAAAAGTAAGTAAAATCTTAACTTCCGCACTCAGCCTCGATCGTCGATGTTTACACGTGCTAATGTACACACTGATAGTAACAAAATTCCATAATAAAATATCATAATTTTCTTCTGGATCTCCCACTGCTAGCACGAATTTTCATGCGTCAACACCCATTATTTGTGGTTTCTGATATCTATTACGTGTGTGATTAACACAAAAATATATTGTAGACTAACAATGGGAGTATTAACACATAAAACCGTGCTAACCTAAGTTGTGGTATATTTTTATCTTTACTAGTAAGTACTGCAATTGTGTGATATGGCATCACTCATCACTAAATCACATCCTGAGTATTATAAGCAGGTTACTCAGAAAGTCCAGCTGTTGGCATTATGTCTATAAGCAGTTGCAACTATTTACTAGTAGGTGTGGATTATGTTATGATGCTATGCACCTAGAGTATCACAGGCCCTATACAGTAGTTTGCCTGACAAGTACAAGGGTGAAAGTTTTCAGGATTATGCCTGATTTCAGGGTTCCAGTCCTCATTATGTGCATTTTTTTAATGGTCTAAATGCGATAAGAAATTTCATGCTAGGATTTTTAGTCTTTACAACTTTCACCCATGCTACTGTCAACATGCACCTGTCGTTTCCAGTTAGGTGTCCATTGACCTCTGAAATGGAGGGTGGGTAGAAGAGAACAGTTATGAATAGTCAACTAATAAAAGTCATAAATATATTTCAGTTGGCATGTTCGCACCAAAAAGAACATTGAAAGGGTGCGAAGGGATGAGGAGCAGGCAGCAGAAGAGGAAAAAGAACGCCAGAGGAGGATTGCATTAGCGGTGAGTTGCAGTTACTCGACACACTCCTCATATCATTTTGTAATGCCTTTACGCTGGTTATACCATATATATAAAAAGAAAGACAGGACTTTGAAATAAATTTTGCTTGTTGATTACACTTACTAGTGCTCAATCCTTACAAATTCAAATTAGAAATGAAATAAATGGAAGGTCATTTTTATGTGCAAATGCAAATTTTTTTTTCTCATGGAAGTTGTAACAGAAAATTTAAAACTAAAGGTTTACATAACAAGGCATAAATACATAAAACATATGATCATTACATAATTAGTATTAGAATGTACATATGTACATATTTCAGTGGTGTTGCCTGCATATATAGATTATAAAAATGATGAAGTACGAGTGTAGAAGTTACAACTGTCACCTCTAAGGGCAAACAATATATATATATATATATATATATATATATATATATATATATATATATATATATATATATATATATATATATATAGCATAAATATGGACATTTTATGTTTGAATCAATACAGGATTAAGAAACATAATTCTTAAACCAAGTAAAACTTGGTAAGTGTAGATTTCATTAAATCAGTTTGAAATCTTTTGGATCTATTTTAAATTTTTGAAAAACTAGGAATCCGAGGCAAGGACTGATCTCCTAAGACAGAGGGCAAAACACAGACAGCGAGATGACGATGAGGAATATGAAGGAGACAGACAAGTTGTGGAATTCCAAGCCCGGCAGCATGTCAATTTCTTCAGTGATATTGAACAAGGGGTATGCTCAGAGCTGAAGTGGTTAGATCAAACATGATCTTTTAAGGAGGCTCTCTCTCTCATATTAGTTTGAGTACTTTCTAACGACAACTACTAATGATCAAAATATGTCATGCAACAAAATATGTAATTCATCCTTTAATGGAAGCTAAGTTCTTATTTTGATCGAAGCGTTAAGAATATGTCAACAAAATGTTGTATTTAGAAAGAACACTTGGACTTTTATGATGTAAAATACCCTCTTACAACTTGTTTACAAACTCTGTAAGTTTTCTTTAGGACGCTAGCTCTCAAAAATTAACTGGATTACCCCCAATTTTTTTCATATACTTTACTCATATGGTTAGTCGATTTTGTCTTAGAATTTTCATCAAAATGTGAGAGAGCATCCTTAAAGCAATAATAACTCTTCCTTTGAGATTCATGGAAATATATTCTATCGTATTTTACCACTAAAACGGCCGTTATTGGAGTAAAACTAAAATCTGTGCTTGTCAATGGGGCTTTCGATGCCATTTTTCCCAGTCATCAAGGCATTCGTTGCTAATGACGTAAGGGTGTCACGCGGATTCTCGCGTTCATTCGAGACCAAAATAACATGGCGCCAAACACATTAATGCGGACGCAGACGTAAGTTGCGAGTTTTTGTACAGTGCGTCGGATAACGAAAAGCCCAGAATGGCACACATTGTGGATATAAATGCATTTTTAACAAAAAGACGAATATATCTCATGAATCTTATATAGTGTTGTTGTTGTCTGCTTTTCCCGCGGTTTTAAGTAGGTCACCAGTGACTTTGCAATGTCAGAGAGAGCTCCGTCAGTTAAAATCTCTTAAGAGATTTTAACAAAAAACCGTACGTTTAGGAAAAAAANTGGCCAAAACGAAGAGTTATTATGACTTTAATATCCATTTATTGCATAATTATTCAGTCATAGGGGCTTGGTAGTGCATATTCCAAAAGGTTGATCTATTGCTACATAATAAGACAGCCTTATACATTCAATGTTAACTTGTGGTTAAAGATATTAGTTTTAAAAACATTAAATCAATTCATATTTATTTAGAAACTGCATACCCAAAATAGTTTGGTATGTTATCTTTATGATTATCATGTATTATTTGTTTTTTCAATTGTTCTGATCTGTGATTTATGACATCATTCCTGTAACTTCTTTTCTTATTCGATATATTTAATTAAAGGGTTATCTTGCAAAACTATTTGAAAGTTGTGGTCTATTAGATAAATGTTTTTTTTTTTTATTATTATTATTAGGTGGAAAAAATATCAAATTGAGAAAATATTCATATCATAGGAAAATATTAAATACAGATACATGTGTATATTTATAACATCTCTGATATATACAACTTTACTTCATGGTGTCTCAACTTTATTTTTAAGATGAAGCAAAAGAAGGTGAATGAAGAACATGAAAAAGAAAAGAAGGAAGAAAAAGAAAAATGGGAGAAGAGCATAGGACTTCTCACCTACCTTGGACAAAGCTCAGTGGAGTCGAAAAGTATGGATTGAACATGGTTGAAGGTTGCTCGATTATAGAATAGTTTAGAAAGTCATCTTAGAAATGAATTGTCTAAAAAAAATGTTTCAAACCTTGTTGCCATTTAGACTCCCATTCAGTCAGATGGCTCTATCTTTTTTGTTTATTTTTAATGAAAAATTGTCACTATTCTTAATGGGATAATAACTCTTCGTATGAGATCTATATTTCACAATAAAAACATGTAAACAACTCATAGAAATATAATATATTCTGTTTTACCACTAAAACAGCAGTTATAGCTATTATTCTGATATCTGAGCTTGTCATCGGACCACGTGACCTCCATAGATGGCTATACTCTGTAATAACCTCTCAAGAGATTATTATAAAAAACAAACTTTTTAGAAAAAAACAGGGACTAACTTTGAATGTAGAAATGGATTCATTAACCATTGGTAAGTATGGGAAAATTGCTGTTTACTCCAGGAAAATTCATTTTTTGGCCAAAATGAACAGTTATTACCACTTTAACTGTTGATACATGTTTTGTTTACAGTTTTTCATATTATTTACAGCCACAAAGCCAGGTATTTACCGGTACTCAGAACCTCCAAAGAAGAAATCAAAAGAGGAGGAAAACATGTAGGTGATGTCACTCATATCCATTTTCTGTTTTCTTCTGAATTATCATGTGTTTGGTATCTAGTTTAAAGTGTATGGCTTATGTGTAGTTCAAGTTTTGCTTACATGCATATCTGGTTTGAATCTTTGTGTAAAGTGTTCTTTCATGAAAATTGGGTAAAGTTTAAATTAAGTCTAAACTACAAAAAAAAAAAAAAAAAAAAGAATGGAGAGATGGAGAGAAATCTGCCCCATATTTGATGTTTGTTAGCACTGACAATAGATGACGAAAGATTTTTTATGTATTGATAGATACTAGACTTAATGTTTCTTTAATCTCACAGTGAAATACAGACTTTGTATTACATTTTGTCTCTGAAATGTTGATCTATTTTGAAAGCTTGAATTATACCAAGTGTTTGTTACCAAGAATGCGTTACCTGGTGATAATCTATTTCATATCTGGTAAATCTGATAATGCATTCTTGATTATATTCATTTTTACAGGGAAGAAGACATGAAAAGGAAGCATTCACTGGATCCTTTGCATAAGATGAAGGAATATGTAGAAAAGAAGAAGAAACACAAACACAAGGATAAACATAAAGTAAGACAATGAAAAAAGAAATAAAGAAAGAAACAGATTTGACTGTATAGCTTCTTTTTTGCATCAGTGCTTGGCCCTAATTTAATTTATCTTTGTATGCAAACAACTTAAGTCTTGAACAAACAACACAAGTTTTGAAACGGCACTGGTTCTTACTATGAAACTTACTATAAAACTATTCTCCTCTATTCAAAATTTGACATAAAAAGAGCTTAACACTTTTATTAA